TTTTTTAATATTTATTTTTTAGTTCTCGGCGGACACAACATCTTTGTTGGTATGTGGTGCTGAGGATCAAACCCGGGTCGCACGCATGACAGGCGAGCGCACTACCGCTTGAGCCACATCCCCAGCCCTTATTTTCCTTTCTTAAACTTTCTGTGGAGCACTTAAATTTGCAACACCTGGAGGTTAATGATAGTGAAATAGAAATACAGAGGAGATTAGTAACATCAGAATGGAAATACAGAGGAGATAGAAAATATAAAAACTATCATTTTAAGAAAGACTGATATTTTTCTAGTGCTGAAAGAAAAACTTTTTGAACTAGATCACACTATATTGAGATAAATTGAGCATAAAAAGGGAGCCTTGGTTCTATGATATTACTCTTCCCAATGAAAAGCCACCCACTGAGATATCAGAGAGCAACTGGAAAAATGTTTAAGAGTTTACCTGGAGAAGATCCACTGTGGAGGGCCTTTGGGATATTATCAGGATGAGGATTCTATTCACAATCAGGCCATCCTTTAGCTGTTTTATTGATGGTTCCTTTTCTTTCATCTTTTTAACAGAAAGGTTGTGGGTACCATCTGGATCTATTAATGGTGGCCGTCATGCTTGGAGTATGCTCCATCATGGGCCTGCCATGGTTTGTGGCTGCCACGGTCCTTTCCATCACTCATGTCAACAGCCTGAAATTGGAATCAGAATGTTCAGCTCCAGGAGAACAACCCAAATTTCTTGGCATTCGGGAACAAAGGGTTACTGGGCTTATGATTTTTATTCTCATGGGATCATCCGTCTTTATGACCAGCATTCTGAAGGTAATGGAATGTTTTATGAGTTTGAGAGAAAGCAGAAAATGCATATTTAAAGATTTCACTTGAATCTAAGGAACATATTACAAATATTGTATGGAATGTGATGAAAGTGATGAATTTTTTTATCATATTTATGCAATTCTTCTTAAACTAAGAAGGGAAGAAATTATGTCCTATAGTTTAGAATCCTTAAATATATAAAGGTTTTCAATGGCAAAATAAAAATCATTGTGTAAACTATTATAATAACTTTGAAATGATGATCAAGCTCTGGAAAAACATCACTCACTTCTGATTGATTGTGACCTGAATTCACTTTTAGGGTACTTCACAAACTGAAATTTCTGATTTTTTATCAATGGAAAGTTATATTAGCAACTAATATTACCTGCTATAAGTTTAGCTGTGTAGACATGAGCATAACCATGCTTGTGGTCAAATATCCAGTTTTATACTTTAAGTGCTCCATAAAACTATTGCATGGACATCATCATTACATATACTTACTTTTTTACATTTAAAATATTTTAATTCATTTTGAAGAGCACTACATAGTACTTATTTTGTCATGTAATTTGGCAGATATTTCTGAATAATGTTAATTTCACTATAAATTATAACTCATTTTAGTTGCCTGTAATTTGAAAATTTTAATTGAATTATTTAATAATTTTCACAAGTTTACTTGTATTTAATCACTGAAATTTTTGCAAGAATTAATTCATGTTGTGTAAGTAATTATAAAGGTGAATGATGATGAGCTATTTCAATAAAAAGAGATAGTATGAACAACACATGATTACAAATATCTACTATAATCTAGGAACAATTTTTCAGTGTAAGATCTATTCTTCCTCTTTTAATCCAAATATCTTGCCATTGTGAAATAAAATTTAAATTGTCTTTTAAGTTGCATAATAGTTCTTTTTTATTGTTAAATAAAAATATTAATAATTGCTAAACTCTTATTTATTGTGCATGATGTGGTTTCTGAAATAGTTTTTCACCTATTACATATTGATAAGAACCCTATTGTTATCATCGCTTTTTAGATAGTGAACAACTAATGCACAGAGCTTAAATAATTTACATAAGCTTCCAAAGTGCTAAAGGTCTGATTTGAATCCATGTCTTCTGGTTCTGTATTATATTGCTTCAAAAATACATTTTGTATCTGTTTCCACCCCCACTTTTGGCTAAATGAAAAACAGCATGCCAATGTATTAGAAAATAATTTGTGCCTTTTCTCTAATTGCTCTTTTACAGTTTATTCCCATGCCAGTGCTATATGGAGTATTTCTTTATATGGGTGCTTCATCTCTAAAGGGAATTCAGGTAAGCTACTTACAGTACTACAGGCACATCTGTCATGACTTATCTTAGGGTTTGTTGATGTTGTGTCATATGACAGCTGAGAAAACAACATCATCTGAAGAGTGGTTTTCAGACCACAATTAAATTGTTCAAACTTTTCAGAGTTGTAAAAGTTAAAAAAGACCCTCTCCAGCATCCAATGTTCTTAATCTTAGGGTACTTTTATTTACCATAAATATATTAATATTTTAAGAAGTTTAGCATTTATACCTTTTATTGATATTAACAGCAGTACCTTTCAAGATATATCCAAATACTTACAGTCTTTGACACTTTAATCAAATTTATGGACATCTATCCATGACAATAGAAAAATATGCACAAAAATGTTCATTCTAATACATGTTATTATTATCCAATAGCAGTAAAATGAGTAAGCAATTAGAGTCACTGAACATTGATAATTATGATGCCTACCAGGGTAATATGATAAAGATGCTTATGATGTAATACAAAGTGAAAAAGTACCTACCATATGTTTATAAAGCTAATAGATTGAGTTGGATTAAAATGAAAGGTGGAGGGAAAAAATGTGTTAAGATAGTGAGATCCTGGATGATTTTTTTCCTATTATATTTTTTCTGTTATTACAACTGTATCTATAGAATTATTTTTAAGATATAGGGTAAGGCAGTTTCAAATATAAAAGAAATTTTATACATTGTTAAAATATTGGTTAAATTATCATGTTAGGCACTGTATTAGTTTTCCGTGGTTGGCAAAAATTTACTTTACAATCCCATAGCTCAAAACAACAAATTTTTATGAGCTCACAGTTTCTGGGGGTCTTGAATTCAGGAACAGATTAGTTGGGTGGTTCTGGTTCAAGATGACTCATGTGGGCCTGTCAGGATGTTGTCAAGGGCTACAGACATCTGGAGCCTCCACAGTGTTGCAAGATTTACTTCAGGATGACATATCACATGGGCATGGGCAAGAAGCATCATTCCTTTGTGGATTTTGGTTGGAGATTTCAGTTTTCTTGCCACAAGGGCCTCTCCATAGGATACTTAAGTGTGCTCACAACAGGGAAGCTAACTCCCAGAGAGAAGAAGTTCTAATGACTTTTGATTTACTCTCCAGAATTGCATGTAGTCATGCTTCATATTTTCTATTTGTTAAAGGTAAGTACACTCTAAGTCTAGCTTTGAGCACAAGAGAAATGAATTAAGATGTCATCTTTCAAAGATAAGAGTATCAAAGAATTTGTGGACACATTTAAAACCCTCTGTAAGTGTATTCTAAATAATTGTGGATGCTATTTGCAAATTCTTCCTGCTTATTTCTTTTATGATGTTTTATGGGTTGTATAGTGAATGTTCCCTCAAAATTCACATCCATCTGGAATCTCAGAATATTATCCTATTTGTAAATAGGGTCTTTGCCGATGTAATCAGATACTTGGTACACTTCCAATCTAATAAATGGGGTCCTTATAAGCCAAGAAGAGGACACACAGAAACACAGGAAAGAGAGGCTACATGAAGGTGGAAGAAAAGATTGGAAGTTTGCTGCCACAAGGCAACAATGCCAGGAGCCCCAGGAGCTGGAAGAGGCAAAGGAAATTTTCTTCTCTAGGGCCTTCAAAAGGATCATGGCATTGCCAACATTCTGGTTCAGATTTCTGGCCTCTGCAACTGTGAGAGAATAAATTTCTATTGTATTAAACCAGAAAGTTGTGATAATTTGTTATGGCAGCTCCAAAAAACGAATACAGATTTCTACTTAATTTTGCCTTTGAATAATCTTATTTTATAACTTAATATTATTTAGCCAAACCACTTCAATATTCCTGAAAAAGAGATCAAATTCAAGCCTTATTCACTGAGTAGTTTTGTTTTTTGTTACCTAAGAGAAAAATATAAATTACAGCTTTTTCTATGACATAGCTGGTCCCATTGCTGTTCAGAACATACAGAAGAACAGTCACTTGACTGAGGAACAGCACCATGGGTCTTTGTTCCTGAGTGAATGGCCAGTTTCTGACTTTGAGAATAGCAGCATGTAAGCCTTTGAATAGTGCTAGGTATCAGAATTGAGGTGTAACTTCAATGCAAAGTCATTGTAAAATCACTGAACACACAAAGATAGTATGTCTTTGTTCATCTTGACTCTGGGTAAAATTAACTCGGGAGAGGGAGATGGTTGAGAAGTGTTATATGTTTAAATTTTTCCTGGGATATGATTTCATTTGTTCATTTTAAAGTGTCTTTTGGTAGAACTGAATTGGTAAGGCAGATAAGGAAGAGTATGGAAGAGGTTTTATTTATTTGTTTTTTCTGGATTTTTTTTAAGTTGCCTTTGGCAAAAGTTCCATGAGTACTAATTTCATCTGTAAGTGAAAAGCATTTATTATTAGGCCCCAGGCTCACATAAATACAACAGCAGAAGTTTAAGAAACAAAGTAAAATCATTTTGATAGGTTTCAACAGATTTCCCCCCCTAATTCAACTCATATGATTTTATACCCATGTGGTTTAGAATTAAACAAGAATGTCAAGTTTTGGAATTATTTGGGAAGTGATTCTTTGAAATAAAAATTGAAGAAAACATTAACAAAGCTCTATGAGTTAAGTAAAATGAGTTTTAAATACACAAATGAACAGCAAAACAGGGTACACCTGGACAAATAGCATCTCACACTGAGAAACAAGCTTAGTGAAAATTTAAGTGAGCTCCACACTCAGCAGTTGAAATTCCTAATGGGAATTGTAGCTAACTGGGCAGGGAAATGGAATATTGACATTATGATATAATAAAAGCCAAATGCAAAACTTAAAATACATCTATCATGAGTAATAATAATTAAATGTGTTAAATAGCTATGGTTCAAGGAATATGTTACTTTGTTACCCTATACATTGAAAAAATCTATATATTACCTTATGGGCAATATTAAGAAACTTTTATGTAGGTTTCTCAATGTGAAACATGGCAGAAAAAACAGATCACAGTGTTCTGATGAACGCTGTTTCCGTATTCAGATATATAACCACATCTATATTCATTCTAACACTTTGGGAATCCAAAGTAAAGCAAATGTGCCACTTAAACAATAACAATTGAAGCACCCACACACTGAAGTACACTTATGCAATAACATAGCTTCATAAATGGAGAAATGGTAGTTAGGGAAAATTAGTTGTATAGAAATGGAAATTTTCAGTTGTAAGCCAAAGGATTTTATTTCTCCCCTATTCTTATATTTACTGTGCCCAAAGTTTTATTTGTATGCTTAATGATTTCTAATTTTAAGAGATATTTGAGAAGTATTAAATAAAGAGACCTAATGGTATGTGTGTGGACAGTATGGAGAGAGATGAACCAGGAATGAGTTTAGCACTTAGTACTCTTAATAGAAAGTTTCCATAAGTGTTTTGGAAGGTAAATGAATGGACACTGGATGAATTAATGTGCACAAGATTCTGGTTTAGATAAATGGGCGGAGGAAGGTCCTGCATTCTGTAAGATAGAATACAGAAGGACAGAGGTTTGTTTTGAGTCTGGAATTTCTAGTATATGAACAAATAGGGTTTGGTAAAATAGGACCCTAACAGTTTGACTATGGTCAGTTGTTCCTCTGCAGATTTGAGTAATTTTGAAATATATGATGAAAACTGCTAGTTCTTTCTTATAAGAATATTACTAATTTGAATTTTACCCTTTTGACAATACATATATTATTGTAGAAATGGCACAAAGAACAGTGACTATGATTGAAAGTCATAGTATTTTCTAAATAATAACCTCATGCCAGAAACTGAAAATGGCAAAAATTTCAGAAAAACTAAAATGACCACCACAAAATAAAATTACTATGCACTACATACAAAGTGTTACTAAGTAAAATGTAAGGAAGATTTAAGCTTCTGGTGAAATTTTAATTTATTAACTTGGGTGCTTGATAAAAATGGCGTCAAAATCAAAGCTACAACAGTAATGCAGTCAAAAATAATGCTACTACATGGCAAAATTGAAACAGAAAATAACATTGATTTATGTAAAATAATTCAAATAAAATATGATTAAAAACCATAAATGGTTTGACAGTGCAATATAGCATATTAGTCAAGAAGTTAAAATTGAGTTAAAATTCTCTCTGGAAAACAATTTTTTAACAAAAATTTATATAGATTAAATCTTTTTTTCTTATTTGTATATGTAGATTTTACTGGAAGTTTGGGGTGAATGCTAATGGAGGATAAGTATACCCAATATGGAGAAAACAGTAAACTTAATGATCTCTTTGAATATCTCTGTCACCAAGAACTTTGTGAATTTTGAATGGCCAAACCTTAAAAAATTTTATTAACACAAAATTGTACATCTATATGAGGTTGATTATATTATACAATATACACTGATGAAATCAGGGTGATTAACATTTTCATCCCCTTTTCTTTTCTAGCCATTCTTAAAAATATATAGTTGGTCATTTTGAACTATAGTCACCTCATTGTGTTTTAGAACACTAGAACTTACTACTTCTTCTGTTTTGATACAACCTATTGAATCCTTTACTATCTTTCCTCCTCGGTTTTTAGTCAGTTTTTTTTTTGTGTGTGTGTGCTATAATCAAAAGATTTGGCAAGAGCAACTGTAGAGGAAGAAAGGCTTATTTAGTACTCATGGTTTTGGAGGTCTCACTCTGTTGTTCTGGGTTTAAGGTGAGGAAGAACATCATAGCAGAAGGGCATGGCAGAGAAAAGCAGCTCACAACATGCTACCAAGAAGCAGAGAGAGAAAGAGAGCTCACCCCGAATGCAGGACCCCTAAGACCTGTCTCCTCCAGTCACATGCTACTTACCTACAGTTAACTTCTGTTAATCCATATCAGAGGATTAACCCACTGATTGGCTCACAGATCTCATAATCCAATCATTTTTTATCTCTTACATAGGTTAAATATTTATGGTTAAGAAGTTTGTGTTTGTAAAGACAGCATCAAAACCCTTGTTGGGGATCTGAGTGGCAAAGGGAGCAGAGTTCAAATAAGGAACTCAGAACATCCTCCACAGCAGCTAGGTGGGGTCTGGAACTCAGAGAGGTAATTGAGGGAGACAGCCAGTTTGGGAGTCATCAGGAAGTGTGTTAAAGTGGAAAGATGAGCCATTCCAGGATAGAAGAGAACTGAGCTTGGGAGTACAAGAATCCCCAGTATTTGTGGAGGAAAAGGAGGAGATTGTGATGTGACGAGAATAAAGATGACCTTTTGCCCTCAGGACTCTACTCTCCAAGGTAGCACTGACTTTGGCTTTACTATTTAGCATTTAGCACTGGCATTACTGTTGTTACACTCTCCAACCTGTACGGTTGTAAATTAAAATTGTAGTATTTCAGTGTGGTGTATCAATTTCATTGATGTACAATTATCACAGATACATTATGTCAACCTAAAATTTGGGGACTATATTAAATATCTGCCTTTCTATTTCTATTGTTGTCTTATTACTAAATGTAATTTAGTCTGCTTAATCTTTTAGTTATTTGATAGGATAAAGCTCTTCTGGATGCCTGCAAAACATCAACCAGATTTTATATATCTACGGCATGTACCACTCCGAAAAGTTCATCTCTTTACAATTATTCAGATGAGTTGCCTTGGCCTTCTGTGGATAATAAAAGTTTCAAGAGCTGCTATTGTCTTTCCCATGATGGTATGAAATTTGTACCCACTCTTTTCCTCTGATTTTAGGGTCCCTTTGGAAACACACGAACTACAATTGGAACAAAAGAGTCTGATTATAAACCTTAGTATGGGGTTTGAACAATCATTGGAAACCCTACTATAAACTTTGACACTAAAATTAGTGACAAAGATAGGGACTGAAAATGATCATGAATTTCAGTGATTCATATTAGTTTTGTCTATATTATTCTGAATGTTTGTTATAATATGAGGTAATTTACCCTAGGTGAAAAAGTATAAACTTTCAAAATTTAGCATCAGGGGTATTTTTAAGTGAAATTTAATTAAATATTTCCATGAAGTTTCATATATTTCAAAAACTATACATTCTCAACATGAATATACATATTCATCTCAAAGTTAATGTTAGCCCTAATGAAACTGACTCATTTCTACCAAAAACAATTGAATCTATATTTCCCACTTTTATTCTTTAAATATTAAGCTGTTTTATTATTTTCTTCAGGTGTTAGCCCTGGTATTTGTAAGAAAGTTGATGGACTTCTTATTTACCAAACGAGAACTCAGCTGGTTGGATGATTTAATGCCTGAGAGTAAGAAAAAGAAACTAGAAGATGCTGAAAAAGAAGTAAGTCAGAGAAAAAGCAATGTCTCATAAAGAAGAAGAAGAAAAGTAAAAGAAAGAAAAGAAAATCAGTTGCTCCTTGCAAAACTAAATTAGTATATTTATCATTAGACAGTTATTACAAACAACCATGATGGACAGATTCGGAAGTTCAGTTTTTAAAATCATGAAGATTTAACCAGAGACAGAGGGCACCAAGATCTCACATTAGGAAACCAATCTGTATGAAATATACAAATACTTTGTGCTTAATTAACTTCCAAATCATAAGGATTATTATTTCTCACTTATAGATGGCATAAAGTTGTTGATGCTTCACCATTTACAAGTTATGGTCATGCAATAACTATGTTTTGGTTGAAAATGTGAAGACAGAAATAAGTGAGTGAGAGAGAGAGGGAGAGGAACAGAGATGTGTTATTACTGATGGTATTTTCTAGGGAACAAACTTTTAATCAGAAGATTCTAGTGAAAAATCAGTTAGGTTTGAAATACATGAAATGCTTAAAAGGAAAAATGATTTGCATTCAAAGTGATTTAAGATTGAATAAATGTTTGAGAAACATTTTGGGTTCTATTTATTTTCATGAACTACTTATTTGATTCTATTTCATATGTTAAAACAATTTATTTTAAGTTTTAGGGCATTTATAAAGTTAAAATGTTAGCTTGGATCTATTTTGAAGACTAATCATAACATTTTTAAAAGTATATAAAAACTACAAAGAATATAAATGGAAAGAGAGAGAGAGAGAGAGAGAGAGAGAGAGAGAGAGAAAGAGAGAGAGAACTCATACAACATTTAGCAGAATGATTGAGCTCATAGATTGTAAAAGTAAAACAAAATTTCTATGTAAATATAAATAAGATTTAAAGAATATTTTGTGAGAATTGAACATTATTATTTCAATTTTTCTTATAGGTGGTTAATAAATGTATTCAGTTTTTAAATTATAGAATATTTTTTAAAGTCTTAGATATGTTGTTTCCATTGGGTAATTCATTTGTAAATGTTTCAAGAATTTTAAGTTTTGCTTAGTTATTTAGTGAACTCTGATTAAGCCACAAAATCTAATGAAGTTTCTGCTCAGAATTTTCTACCAGTATGGCTACATAATGTGAATAATAATTCCTTTCTTTTTTTTATGGTATTCCATTGCAGTCAATAGATTTTCACATATAGATGGATCATGATGATATATTTTTTTTCTGTATAAATATTTCAATTTTTCAAAATATATAGAAGGCATATATACTTCTAGTATATTAATATAATATTAAATATTATAAAATTGTCACTAGTTCTCTATTTTTCTAAGTTTAATGTATTCTGATTTAAGTATTAGATATTTTTTAAAAAATAATGTTTTAACTAGTATATTTTGGATCTCTTGTTTCTTTTTAGAGTGTCAGTAAATGTCTGTGTTATCCTCAGGTATTATTCAAGAAAAATATGACAAAATTTGGTACAAGCTAAATTTAAATAAGATGGACATCAGACTATTGAAATTTTAATGTCTTAAATTATTTATAGTTTGTGTAATTAAAATTATTAAGATTGAAAACAATTTCTAAGAAGTTATAAATTTTCAAAGAAAGTAATTTTGAAGAGAAGGTGTGCATGTGCAAATATTTAACAATGAATCCCAGTACAATTTTTGCTCCTCTTAGAACTTCAGTCTTAGAATTTAGAACTTTCAAAACGAAAAAATGCTGTGTAATTTCCTATGTTATCTTTAATATTCTTCCCTACTATGACTGAAAGTTTCAGATTCTCCTTTTTTCTCCGAAATAGAATAGACAAAGCTGATGGTAATAATAAACTTCATAGAATTAGCCATTTCCACGCCCAACTTTCAAAGCTGTGCATATTTGGCATTTGTATGTATGTACCCTATATCCATTTTGCAATTTATTAATCCTATTAGGTAGAAATTCTATATAATTAGTTTCTCACCTTTTTACATTATATCCTGCTATAATCTAATGGGTATTTACTCTCTTCTGATTATGAAAAATTCTAGAAGTAACTAGTGTCCCTAAATTTCCTAGAACTCATGTTTTCTGCAAGTATATAAAAATAGATTAAAAATTTATTGGGATAATTTTATAGCCAAATCCTTCAGCTCCAAATTGAGAGGGGAAAAAATCTTGTAATACGTTCATCAGACAAGTCTATGGATCTTTAAAATTCAAATAGATAAATACAGTGAGACTTCCATGTGATCCTCATTACATGGAAAGAAACAAGAAAATCAATAATAGTAAAAAAATAAACTACAATTGAACATTAAAATGTAGTTCTCACTATTGCAAAGGCAAATAATTCTGCATCAAACTGGGGAGAGAAAAGAAAGTTTAAAGATGTTTATGTTCTAACCTGGGATTAGCATTTAAAAAGTAGGATCAGGGAAGAGAGTAGGAAGATTTAAGGAGGATGACACTAAAAGTTAAATCTCTGGTTGATTTTCTACTTGGTTGCCTAGATCTTGATATTTTATTTCTTGAGCTTAAGGACTCCACTAAAGGATGTGATCTTCTTAACTATGGCATCTTGTACCAAGGCCCAGTCTTCCAGGAGATTTTGCATTAAGGTGGCAAATGGACAAGTTCTCCAGAAATGTTGCATTTCTGCAATTGCTCAAATTAATTGAGTAACTTTGATCATGATCTGGCAAGATAGTAAATAGCAGAAATGTCTCAGCTCCCTGAGAGTTGAATTTAAAGTGAGCTCACCTCTTGTCCTTTTGATGATAGTTACAAGCTTGTACCTTTATCCTCTAGGGTTTTCCTATCAGTAGCCCATTTATGGTCTTATGGCACTGAAAAAGCATTCATTTGACCTTAAAATTCAATAATGAGTTAAGCAGAATAAATAGCTACACAGGCCAGTCCAAGGTCGCAGAGCTTCTGTTCCAAATTTTCATGTACTTCATGCATATGCATATGCATATGCTTCAGTTTTTAGAAAGAAAGGATTATAATCAGGGTAGAAATGAATATTGGAACCCTGACATTTTGCACATTGCTCTGTGTAAAGGGAAGACTGCAGAATCAAATTCTGGATGTCCAAATGTGCTCAGAGTACCAACATGCCTTTCTTCCTACTTAAATAATCTCTAGGACATTGTACACATTTGACAAAAGGACTATTGTTAAAAGCAGAAAACTCCACAGAATGTTTACTCTTGGAGAGAGGGTGATGGGGTTAAGCTTAGCTAAACCCTGGACATTCAATTTGGCAGAAGGTATCAGATTGAGACTTCTTGATTTACTGAGAGTTCACTCTAACACATACACTGTTAGAAAAAGTAGACAAGTACGGCTTTGTGATTTGTATCAAATGGGTTCATGAAAAATTCCAAGAAATTAAAAAAACAAGTGCAATAAGCAAATTACAGAAAATGTCTTACTATTAAGAAGGGTCAGGATGGGTTGTGGATTTAGAAAGCATGGATAACTAATTATTATACAAATTATCTTTTCTAATTGAATCTTAAGATGTGGCAAGCTTATTCTCCTTCTTCAAGCAGTAGTTTTTCAAAATGTGATTCCACAACTCTGCTACACCAGCCAACACCTGGCAATTTGTTAGAATAAAAATTCTTGGGCCTTACCCCAGTCCTACTGAGTTAAAACTCTGGGTAGAGGGGCCAGTGCTCTGTATTAATAAGACCTCTAGGGGATTCTGATTCATGATAAAATTTGAGATAAGCCCTTTCCTAAACTACAGAATCTGAATCTCCAGAATATACTCAGATTCTAAGTACAAGATAATTCTACAGAATTTTTCACTTTTGTATTTATTTATAATAATTCATATATATTTAGAGACAATGAATTGAATATTTTGATGAAAAATATATGTTGTCTCTCTATATTATATGAATTCTATATTAATCCTCCCATTTTTCCTTCTGAGCTTTCATTGTTAGTATTTTATATATTGGCTTGTCTCTACATTAGAAATCATAAAAAATCCTTATAAATATGACATTGTTATCACATATTTGTAGCACCTATACTGTTAGTTGGGAAAGGAAATGTCTAGATGCTTCTTATATTCTGTAGGCCTTGTTTTCTTCTTGGATAAAATAAAGGAGCTGAACTTGAATTTAGAAATCTCTTCCATTTCTTAAGATATATAGATTACAAAATTACTGAATATTTTCTCTCCTGTACTGTAAGCATCTTCACAAAGATACTTAGAGTTGCTATTTGTTCTTTGTTATTGTTTGTAATTTGGAATATTTGAAGCCTCCTACATAGATACAGACTTTGCTGAAAAATGGATAAAATAAGAGATGTTACTACTTCATTAAAGGTAAAAAGTAATTAAAGGATAGAGAATTTGTTAGGTGTCACAATATGGGAATCAGAATTTTTATGTTTATACAATTCAGATTCATGATATAACTTGATATATATCCTCCTATTAATCAAAATACCCCACAATTTGATTCCTGTTTTATTTTCCTCTTGAACTCAACACAGACCTTTGGCTCTAACAAGACTAGTTGCTCATTACTATGAAAACATGTTTTATTTATTCCTTCATTTTATGCTTGGCTCACATTATTTCTTCCTACCTACAATTTCTTCCATTCTACAACTTCTGCTCCTGTTCTTCTCATGGTGAGCCTTCATATCATCTAAGGGTAGGGTCTATATCTTTCTTTTCATTGTTGTAACCTAATGCCTAACGGACTTCCCATCATGTAGATAATGCTTAACACATATTCATTGAATGAATTTATTAATGGTTTCTGGATCATTCTTGTTCACTGGGTGACTAGAGCATAGTACATGCTCAGTAAATGTTGGGATGCTAGTGAGTAGATTTGTTTTCTAAGCCTAACTTTTCCTTCCCTTTACTGGACATAGCATTAATTGCAGTTCACTTATTTTGTGTCTGAAAATTCTTTGATTATCTTAATCAAAAGATGACATTTAAATTATTATAAATATTTCTTTAGTCAAATTGAAGAAACTTCTCAAATGTTCTTGGGTAAATTTTGATCTTCATCCTTTTAACACCTCATAACTGGGTACTACTACGACATAGAACTCTGCATATTCTTGATGGATTCTGTATAAAAGAAATGCTGAATAGAACTCATTTTGAGGTGTGTCTGTGGTGGATACCTGGTTAGCTTTATGCTATTCTCTCTCTGCTTGCATGGTTGACATAACCTGAGTTGTGATTGTCGTGATGACTGGTGCCTGATTTGACTGCTCCTCCCCAGAAAGGCTCAATTTTTGGCTCCCTCAGAGTGCTGCCTGGGTTGCAGCCGGCCCTCCATCCCCTCTCCAGGGCCCACCCAGCTCCCTTCTGGCACTGAAGGCAGCGGCTGCTCTGCCACCCTTCTCTTCAGATAAGCATGGCTTGGAAATGCTATCTTTAGAGGTGATGAGTTTTTGTTTGGATAGAATTATGACTAGTATAAAGCCCACACATGCTAACAAGCCACAGAGTGCAAAATAATTATTGAAAGCAATTTGAGAGAAAAGTGGAAAATCATCTGAAGAAAAACCAAAATTGTTCATAATGCTTTGGCCCAATTTTTTTTTGCTGTTGAATTGAATAGTGATTCTTCATTTTTCTGCTGCCAGGTAGCTTACATGGTGATGAACCTGTTCTTCTCTTAAACTTTATTTGCATTTTATTCTTTGTTAAACATCCTTAACTTTTTGACATTCTTTTCTGAATTGGCCAGAAAAGATACTATATGATAGTCTTAACCTCTTATTGGACAACTAAGGACAGATTTACCTTTTGTTTATATCTTGGTTTTCTTTACATAGTCTGTGGAATCATTTAATGTCTTCTCTTTAGGTTCCTCCATGTGCATTAAGGTAACCTCTCCCATGGAAGTAACCTTTTCTACCTGAAAGGATACATATGCTCTGCCCATGGGTTCCAGGATGTGCTTGTAAATTAATATGATATATGTATTGTATTCCATATAATCTTTTTATTGCATTTGCAAAGCATATCTCATTCTAGGCTGCAGATTAGCTCTGCTTATGCTTAAATTGATTATTTTAAACTAATAGGACTGTACTCATCTTGATTAGTTTCAATAGTGCTGCCAAATGATAAGGAGAATATGTGTAAAACATAAGTGATAAAATACATGGGCCTTAAAATTTAAAAAAATACTTTAAAAACAGTAGAGAAAGAGAATAGAATTGGTTCTTGGAATGCACAGGGTTATGCCATTAGCCCCACCATGTAAAAATATAACATAAAGTGTCTGAGGGGGAATGTATAAGCAGAGGTGTGGCAGAGCTTATGCAGCACCCTGGCCTCTCCATTGCTCCGTAGCCTGGGCTGGGCATAGAGGTTCTGTATGCACCACAACCAAAGCCCCTGCAGAGAGGGCCCTACCTTGGCCAGTAGGTTGGGAGACTGATGCAAGATCCCCACATCACATGACATATTCATAGGTTAGCTGAAGAGTCACTAAAAACCACTTTGCCTATATAAATAACAAGAAAGATGGAATATGACATTCAGATTACAGATTGTGCAAGTGGAGGGCCAAGATTTGAATAAGAGAACCCCAGGTACCACCTTGCCTTCCAGGAATAATGGCATCAGCTAAAGGTCATATCTCTCCGGCAGCTATTATAGGTTAAGCTGGGTTAAGGAAGTTTAGCTCTCCTAAGTTACTGAAAGGGGAAAGGAGAAGAGCCTTCAGGGCCATCTGTATCTGTATTTATTTTTTTGTCATCAATTCCCTCTTGGGGAGGATCACCTACTTCTTTATGTCTGTACATCTTAAAATCCATTTTGAAGATAGAATAAAATAACCTAATTTTTTAAATATTCTAAATAATTCTTGAACTGGAATAATGCCAGTTGACCCATTTGAAAATAAATAAGAGCTGTAATCTATAGACAACTTTCTTACTGGGTGCAGAGAAAAAGGGTTTTTTTGTTGTTTTTTTTTTTTACTTCTACGTGGTCCTTATGTTTTTATTCAATCGAAATTTCTATTTCCTCTTCAGCATACACATCACATTTCAGTGAATAGTTATTGAACAGTATTCTTTTGCTCTAGATTCAAAATACTATGAAGGCAGAAAGTATACTTTTTATTTCTTCATCACCAATAACCTATAACAAGTATGATGTGCATCTGATATTGGAAGCTAGAAGAGGGATGGGAATGTTCCATTTGAAGTCATAGACTACACAAAGATAAGGACAACTAAATGGATGTGTATACTCAGAGAAAAAGTTTAATGATAACATTATTTGAAAATTTAATGAGAACATTTTAGTATGGTAGCCATATGATTATCCTCATTTCAAAGATATAGTTTAGAATATTATATATGAAGATATACATTTGTGAATAAAGCATTTCTACCTTTTGGAGAAAGGTGAAATGTTATTGTTGTAAGAAGAAATATGAAGCATAAACAAAAGCTAAAGATGCATCTGACTGGAGTCTAACTATTCAATTTGTTTTTCCACCAAGCTTACCTATGTTTTGATACATATATTATAGGAAGATATCTTCTATTATATCCTTCCAAGTCTGCAGCATTTGTTCTAAAGTGTGGTGTCCAGACTAGCATAGTCAAATTTAAGTGGAAACCCATTAGAAATGTAAATTTTTTTGCCCTCTCTACTTCAGACCTATAGAATCAGATGAGGGCAAAACCCAGCAATCTGTATTTTTAAAAACCCTGCCAGGTAATTCTACTGTAGAGTTTGAGAATTACTGCACTGAATATATGTTTTATCTCCTCCTAACAGAGCATTCTGGGATGTAATTTCAACTTTATAACAACAAAACTGATTACATTACCCACACTTTTGTCCTTGTAAGGTTTAGATTAATTTTTAAAAAGTCTGTTTGGAAATTAACCATGTTTTACATTGAGTGACATGAAGGAGATTGTTGTTAGCATTTAAATTACTTTGTGTTATGAGATTCTCATTAATTACTTATGTTCTTGGTAGCTAAGCTTTATTGAAAGGACCTGTGCTGGCATTAATAAATGCAAACAAAGTGGAAGGTCTTGAGGTTAATGAGATAATGAAACATTAATCTGTGTTTCTTCTTTAATGTAAAATGGAGATTCATCAGGTTCACTTTATATACTTTACATTTGTCTTTCCAGGAGGAACAAAGTATGTTAGCTATGGAGGATGAGGGCACAGTACAGCTCCCACTGGAAGGGCATTATAGGTAAGATATACATTTAAAAACACATTCATGTCTGTAATAGAATATGTTGATATGTACTCTAAGAATTTCACACTGTGTGGATGCTCATAGAGGTTTGCTGAAGTTGTGTTAGAGGAGAGACTGAAACTAGAAATTCGATTAACCAGGTTCCAGTACTAAGTTCTGCCCATACTGACTGGATGACTATACCCAAGTAGCATAAAATGATGTAGGGTAGGAGCTATTGTCTGAAATATTTTCTTCTCATATTTTATGATGTTTATAAAAGAATCTTTCATAGTCTCAGAAAGGAGCAAATAGAGGACAGGGGTAAGATTCACTTCTGGACTAAATGAGATAGGTATTCACCAAGTTGATCACCCATCAATATTTTAACTCTGGGAATTTATCCCTTAAAATAAAAAGTTAAATCTATTTCTTGAGCTGGAGGAATAAGTTCTATTAATCATTTTAGGAAAGATTTATGCAATTCCCACAAATATGCTAATATTATTTACATACAATAGGAAAAAAAATGAGTTTTATAAGTTGTAATAAACATTTTTGCAAGTATTTGGCCAATAATATTCTCTCTCTCTCTCTCTCTCTCTCTCTCTCTCCACACACACACACACACACACACACACTGCTCCACTCACCCCTCCCTCTCTCTTGCTATAGTTTAGTTTAGTTTTCTTGTAAATTCTATTTTAAGTACCATTTAATACCCAATTTTATGGATTCAGCGTTCTTAAGGATAATTTAAGGCTTGCCAGTAAAAAAAAAAAAAAAAACCAACAGGGGATAATTTCCACTGAGGGAGGAATTTGTCATAGTGTTAAAGACAAAATAGGAATATTTTGGAGCTTTAGGGTATATTCTAAAATCATATTTCCTAAAAAGTTTTAAATAAAATTACATAGCACTTAAGGGTGAGTATAAGTATAGAAGGCATTTTTACTTTCTTTCTTTTTTTTTTCCTTCTGCAACACTTAAAATCTAAAATCCTCTTGATTTAGTGGAACCAGTATATTTCCAAATGTATTCTATGGAAACCTAGTCTCATGGGGTAACACTCCGAGAAGAGCCTGATATTGAAATAAGTTTGGAAAACATTACATATTGCATTCTAGTTTGAAAATTCACAATGTACAACTGCATATAAAATAATCTAAGTAGTATTGGATTTTAAAAATGAAGTTTGACTTTGTCTAATCTAGCACTTTCTAAACTCTTGCTCATAGCCCCTTGTAATGTAATTTCATGAAAAACTTGTTTCACATGATGATTCTTTTTAAATTAGTTGATCTCATGCTTTGTGTTACTAGGAAGCTCTCTTTCCAGGCAGATTAGAGGAATTAAAGAGCACCTTTCTAGATTGAGTAAAGTGGAGACCCAAGTTTTTTGTTTGTTTATTTGTTTTTTTCCATCTTCAATGTTGAGTTGTTGCACTCTTGTGAGCAACCACCAATTTGAAGTCATGTGAAGTCACTTAGGACTTCTATAGGACATGATTTTTGTCATAGCAGTTTTACCTACACAGCAAAAAGAGAGATATTTTCTGTTATAGAAACTTTATTTCACTTGGTAAATAATTAATTGCTACTGCCATTTGGTTGTTTCTACCTCTGGGGATGTTTTGCAGCATCCTGGATGTAACCTATAATTGGTGCCATTTTAAAATGTAATAAAAGCATCAGGTATAGTACAGGCTCTGATATTGTAGGTTACACTAGATATGTGGAAAGAGCTCTGCCAAAGATGCAGGCTGCATTCATCTGTTAAAAAACAGTTATCATGTAAGTGAGTACCAAATACATGAATGAATGATCAAGAATCACATCCTTATGAAATTTATATTTAAGTAGAGTAGAAATGGAGGACAGAACATTAAAAAAATGAACAAGTAATATAGTATAGTATTTCAGATGGTGAAAACTGCAGTGAAGGCAAATATCAAATAAAAGGGATGAGTGTGGTATGAAGAGATGGAAATAGCAATTCTAATTAGAGGGATTGGCAAGAGCCTGAGAAGGTGATGTTCGAACAAAGAGAGGGAAGTTATATATGGTGGGATGAAATACTTGTGAGGGCAGAAAAAAGATCTAGAACAAGGCCCTGAAACCTTTAGTGTTCTACAATGGTCAGGAGGCCATTGTATTATGGCTGAATGAGCCAGGGCAAGATGGAGGAGGTGAAGTAGAGGTTGGGGGGGCATAAAGCTCGATATGGATCATTGTGAGAACTCAGTGCTTACTGAGTAAGTGGGAGCAACTGAAGGGCCCACACCTGCAGACCAGGGATCTGCATGGCTGTAAATGCCAGGTGCAAGAGCCTAAGCAGTCCACATGTAGAATCTAATCTGTTATGTGAAACAAATTTTTAAAAACTGCAGCCCACTCAGGTGTGATGTCCTAGTCCTGTTATCCCAGAGACTCCAGAGGCTGAGGTAGGAAGATCACAAGTTCAACAATTTAGAGATAATGTCTCCAAATAAAAAGAAAATAAAGAAACTGAGGGACTGAGGATATGACACAGTGTTAGAGTGCCCCAGGTTCATATCCCCAGTTCCACAAAAAAAAAAAAAAAAAAAAAAGAAGAAGAAAAGGAAAAAAGAAGAAAAGAAAAAAAAAGAAACTGCAGCCCAAACCTGTATTTTTACAATTAGAATCTTTTCTTTAGATCTTTTGAGTTTTTCTAATAATTGAGAGAGTCTTTCCATATTTCTTAATTTTTGATTATTAAAAATCCTGTAAAATAAATAAAATTTGGTACATATGTACAACAAAATATTATTCAGCCTTAAAAGGAAAGAAATTCTGACATAAGCTACAACATAGCTGAACCTTGAGGACATTATGCTAAATGAAATAAACACTCACAAGAAGATAAATACTGTTTTATCTAACTTATATGAGGCCCTTAAAGTAGTCACAATCATAGAGACAGAAAGTGGTTGCTAAGGACTGGGAGAGGAGGAACAGGGATTTATTGTTTAATGCACATAGAATTTCAGTGTTAAGAGATGGAAAGTGTTCTGAAGATGGATAGGGGCAGTGGTTTTTATGTTATGAATGTATTTAATAACATTTAACTGTGCAGTTAAAGATGGCTAACATAGTAAATTTTATATTACACGTATTTTACCACAATAAAAATGGAAAAAAACAATTTCATATAGACATAAAATTGTCCTATATTTAGTTTCTGTCCTTGAATAACCACAGTTACTTATTTAATGTTTATTATTTCATTTTTTGGTAAACTCCTAACTAGAGATGATCCATCTGTGATAAATATTTCCGATGAAATGTCAAAGACTGCCTTGTGGAGGAACCTTTTGATTACTGCCGATAACTCAAAAGATAAGGAGTCAAGCTTTCCTTCTAAAAGGTTTGAATTTTAAGATAATGAGGTGTACTGTTTCTAATTATTTTATGAAATCATTCTACTAGCGAAAGAATGATATTGGTTTCCATCAAATTTATATCTAAAATGGTTCAGAAAATTCATTTTGAAAATGGTCAAAATTGTCTTTTTTTACAAATGTTATTGTTTTCCAACATTTCACTTGAAAATAAAAAGCTCACTCCAAAACTAGCACAGTGGGGGGAAATGGAGGTATAAGTGAGTTCTAATGCATGGCATTTTTGGACATTTTTTTTGGCCTACTCTTTTGCTGTATGATTTTATTGTATTCCATCATCACCCACCTTGGAACCCCTCAGATGTGTGCCCACATTTCCCACTTCCTATTTCCTTTTTGAAAAGAGATATCACATACAGTGGGGATTTTATGTTCAGTATATTGCTATTCCCCTATCTCAGGTCCCTGAAAATTTTTACTCACTTCCTTACCCTGAAACTTTTGGCTCTCAAAAGTTCTACCCATTCTTGTTTATTTATATATAAATATGCAAACAACCCCTAGAGTTGTCTCTGGTGATTTTAAGTGCATGTGCAGGGATAGGTATGTCCTCAGATATCAAGAATTGTAATGAAATGTTCTATTGAATTTTCCAGAATTTATAAATAAGAATCTAAACTATACCATCCTGTCTTCTCAGTTGCTAATCTGAAGAAAAAGGAATACCTTTGCTATGCTAGTGTCTCTTATTAGAAAGCAATTGAAGCAATTTGGGATGGTGTTATGGTTATTAAGTTTCTTTATTCTCATAACCTTAAATTAACTTTTTCTACTTAATTTTTATATTACATTTTGTCATAAGCTCCCCTTCCTAATCACTCTAGAAGCTGATTCCCCAAAGGTAAGACTCTCTCCCTTACACCTACTCCTTGGCTGCATTTACTTATGTTAAATGGTGTCTTCTGGAAACCCGATCAGCCTGTGTCTTCTGTGTGAATTTTGGGGAGGCAAAAGACATAGAAAGTCTTGGACTCAGATCTAATATCAGACTGAGGTCTATGCTGCTCCTGTTACTAGTCAGCTCTTTAAGTGGCTCTGAAACTTGAATAAACTTTGTTCCATCCACAACTTATACAAATGCAACATATATAAATCAATAAATCTTACAGAACTGTATTTAGTACTGACATTAAATTTTTAGATTGGGAATAGAAAATTTGTCCTTTCAATTAGGAAATTAATAAATGGAAACTCAGATTTCATTTATGTTACCATGAAGCATCCCCACCTTCAAGTCTTACCTGACTTCATGAGTCATAATTGGAAACATGGACTAGAAAGCAAGACTACTTTACACTTGGAGAATATATCTCTTGTTGCTGGCTTTTGTCACCCCAAAATGTCATACCGCTTCAGTGTCACCTCTACACCAGACAGAATAAATAGGACAAACAGTGGAGGAGAAGAGTCTTCACCCCAGGGGCCGGGTGGCAGTCCTCTCTCTGTCTCTGTCTCTGTCTTCTTCTGTCTCTCTGACTCTCAACTCCTCCAAGACTTACTCCATAGGATATTAATATAAATTACTCAGTGGAATGTCTCCAAGATCTTTGGTTTATATCTTTGAACAGGGCTTCAAAACATATTTATTTGCTTGGGTCAAGCAGCAGCAGTGTTTTATTCTAAAACATGCTTTATCTTCCTTTCCCCCAAATATCTGCTATAGTCTTAGATTAAAAAGAAAATATATACATTTAAAATAGAAAATCAAGGCCAGCTTGGGAAGCTGAGGCAGGAGAATTGCTGATTCAAAGCCAGACTCAGTAACTTAGTGAGACTTAAGCAACCTAGTGAGACCCTATCTCAAAATAAAAAGTAAAAAATAAAAAAAATAAAAGGTCTGGGGTTAAGTGCCCTGGAGTTCAATCCTTGGTACCAAAACCAAAACCAAAATCAAAACCAAAACCAAAATCAAAACAAAACAAAGAAATCCAGGTTGATGAGCTCAAAGTAAGAAGTAAAATGCCAGCTGTGGGAAATATCTGTAGAATTTGAAATAATCTTGTAGATTGCTTTTCTTCCTGAATTAAAAAGATGCGTGTCCCAAATTGTTTCTCTGTTTTTCTTTGGTTCAAGCAAAAGGTTTTATGGCATGAATTTTCAGTACTTCTTAAAGTTAAGTATTAAAGTCAAAGTTATGCTTCCCACCAGAAAAACCTAGTCATATTATTTTAAAATATGTCTTGATTACTTCAGAAGCAGATTAACTCTAGTGAACAGTGTAATGTGCTTTTAGTAGGTCCAACTTTAAATAGATCATCTTTTAAACCTTGTTAGAACCACTTGTTTTTCATTCTTTAAATTTTTCACTGACCTGAGGTTCAAACTATTATGGAATGAACGTTTACCCAGATATCTTTACTTTTTCATGTGATACAATCTGTGGCTTTTCTCATGAAAAATCTCTTTCTGAGTGGTTAACATCTTTCATCTTTTTAACTGTGGGAACTGTAACAGAGTGTGGCTTTCAGAAATCCTAAAACCACCTATCCTAATAACAAATATGGTGCCAAAACTACCACTTTCTTTTGGTTTCAGTTGAAGGCACTAAAGTATAACAACCAGAAACTAGGAAAAGTGGGTACCTGTTAGAGTATTCATTGGCCAAAAGAAAAAAAAAAAAAGAGAGGCCTAAGATGTCAAGTTACCAGGACCTGTATCTCTCAAGACCTAAGCTGGCTCTATGCAGCCTTTGATCCAGTCCCCTCAGTTATTTTCCTTCCTATCCCTGGCTATAATATGACTCAAAGAAGCTTAGGTACCCTTTGCAATAAAGTTTACCAGTAATTATTTCATTAATATTTTATTATTTCATTCATTCATTGACATTCACACTTGCCAAACATATTTTACCTAGTTTGACAACAAGTAGAATCTAAGAATGAAACACAAGTTCTACGTCATCCATAGGATGTCTCCTTTTGATCTCAGTTTAATAGTCTCATACATATGAGCTCCTCTGAAGCTTATGTGATGGATTGGTAGAAATAGGTCTCATTAAAGACCACATTGCATCAGAATAGGTGAGCAACTGCTGTGTTTTATAAAACTGATGCCACAATCAACTTTTCATGGGAAGGTACCTGTCAATGTTAGGAAACGCAGCATTGGTTTTGCCTTGGTGGCAGAGGGTGGGCTCTGGGGCAACTTTTTTTTTGCTTCACCCTCCCCAGCCTACCCCTGCACTCCCCACAATCTTATTCTATCCTGGATTCTTCTCCTTTGCTCTGATTTCCTAGGCCTAGTCTCTCTAATCACTGCTCAGTAAATATTGTTCATAATAACTGCTTTTAGTACAACCGAAAAGTAACAGCTTCATAGATATCTTAGCAGCATGACAGTATTGGGTCACTTTTTCCTCTCTTGAAATACTACTTGCTTACATTTTAAATTTTAACTATTCAAGTACAAAGATAGTCTTATCTATATTGTATTCCTAGGTCTTTGCATAATGTCTGGCACATAACAGATATGCAGTATGTTTTTTTGCAATAATACATAATATATATGTAATATGCATCTGTAATAATTAAAGCAGTAAATTGACTGGCATCTAAACAATGATTTAATAGGGAATCTGGAGAGCCATACAAAAAGAAGATTCAAACTAAGAATATTTTTCACAAAAGTCTTGAACTAGTTATAAAATTTCTGCTTCATAATTTGCTGAAATCTAATTTGACAGCAAAACCAATAATTTTAATGAGGGAAAAACAGTCTTTTATAACCAAAAGACTCAATATGAAGCAGACCAGAAGGAAGCTCATCTGTGGATCAAGTTGATAATCAGATTTTTTTTTCTTCACTGCCTGGTGACTAACAGTGCCATTGAGAACTCATTCATTTATCAAAAGGTCATGGACCGCCTCCTATGTTCCAAAGTATTATATGCATAGGAATTGTACAGTTGTAGAGGCCAGTACAATTGTCCTTCACAATTTCCTGTTAAATATTTCATAAGGCAGAGTCCACTGGAAATGGAAATACCAGTGTCAGTATGCTGGAATTGAGCTACAAGAGAAATTAGAGGCCATTGGTACAAAACTCAAATTTATAGATGAAGATACTGAGTTTCAGAGAGATTAAACAACTGTCACAAGGTCATGCAGCTCATTCTTAGCTTCTAGGAACTGAACCCAGATCTTCCAACTCCAAACCCAGGGGTCCCTGCACTGCCCATTCTGCCTTCTTATATTGGCTTTGTTTGGCAGAAGAATTTGGGAGCCAGGTAAAGCCCAAGGAAATGTTAATGTTGAAAACAGGATATCCGACACTTGTCATATAAAAGAAATTTAAAGTAGAAGAAAGTGAGTCATACAGATAGAGGAGTTAAAAATACAGAGTTAAGACTCTCAACACATCATGTGCACACTGTCATCTCTTCTCATGGAAAGAGAAAAGAAAAGGGAAAAAAGTTGCTTTGCTCTGACCTGTAAGGAGTATGTGCTGAGAAGTGTGGCAGGCATAAACCCGGGTGCCATAGACACTCGCTCACACCAGCTCTGAGCGCTGGCAGCGTGCCACAGATGGCAGAAGCTCCAGCACTTCTTACCTGATGGTGCCGGGTGGTGGTGACAACTGAGAAGGGCTGTTTCTAGCTTGAATTGGAGGAAAAACAATTTTAAAAACACACTCTTAGAATGTGTCTAAGTTATTGACCACTGAGAAAGCTGCATAGGAAGACCCGTAGAAATACAGAGTTTGATTACTTTATAACTTGGAGAAGAGTTATAAAACCCCAGGATGTCTTCCCCTCAACTGTTTCATAAATATATATTAAAGGTTGAAGTTAACCATAAAATGCTGTGGATTCTTCCACTTTAGGGCTTCAGAGGCTGGTTGTAGGTTATCCTGTGTCATCAGTGGCGAGGGGCACAGAGATGTCCTCCACTCAGAGGGCTCTGCTGTGCACTGGAGGTACTAGGGGAATAAGCATTCCATCCTACTGGCAGCACTCTCTATATGAGCTTCATGTATATGAGCATGTTATTGGAATTTTCCATGAACACTTCATTGGAAGAGTAGGAAAAATATACAGTGAGAAAATATTGACCAAATAGACAAAAATGGTAGAGTTACATTACCAGCTTGACTGTCAGTAAAGTTCATTAGAAGGTGAGATTAAACAGAAACCATTCAAGAATGAGTTTATTCTAGAAGTGAAGTGAAGCGAAGCAACATTCCTCTGATGTAAAGGCTGAGGGCTTGTTTGTAAAGATTGCGAAAGCATCTGGAGAGCAGAGTGCAGAGTCACCCATACACAGATCAGGGAGATATGTCAGTATTACCTGACTGAGACCCAATCCTCACCAAAGATCAAGATCCAGTTCATGCACAAAGGAGGGGCCACATGCAGAGTCCAGAAATACCTCTGGCAGCATCTTGTTTGTGTCATTTACTGGTGTTAGTGCTATCTTAAAATGGGGCATGACTGGCATTTTCAACAATCATCAATGATTCATTTCCTAAAAGTAGATCATGTTATTAATCTTGCATGCTTTAGAACTGTTTTAAAATGTCTGGGTTTTGTTTTTAGTGTCTGTTTTTGAATTTCCCCCTCTCTGCAGTTCTTGGTTTCTATCTCAATGAGTGCAGAGGATTTTAATTGTTGCTTCGCAGCATGAGAGAGCAATGCCTACGGGCTCTTGTGTTGCTTGGGGGTTGATGGGTTTTGTGTGTAAAGCAAGCAAATCTCAATGTAGCCATGCTGGATTGCAGTAATAAATTTCTCTTTCTTTTCCCTTGTAGCACTGAAAGCCGAAAGAAGAAAGCTGACTCAGGGAAAGGTGTTGACAGGGAGACTTGTCTATGACTTGATCTTCAATTTATTTTTTTTCATATATCTGAGAAGAGTGTCACAATTATTAATAAAACTGCTTTGATCATGTATTGTAAATTCTGTTTCTCATCCCCAATCCACCTTCATACTGTAAGTAGTGCAATACTTGTTTCATTTCTGTGTTTAACCTTCTGAGCAGTGAGACAACCTTGTGAACAGATACAATAGCTAATGCAAGAATCCGTGTTGTGTTCCTTGCTGTAAGACATTTATAAACACTGAATTCTCATTGTCAGCTTTATGAGAGCAATAGCTTTCTTAAAGAGATAAGTCATATTTGCCTAGTTTGTATTTTCCTACTTTAGTAACCTGAAGATGCCTGATAATTTCATTCAGAAGAATTTTGAAAGGTAGTCTTACTTCTTTTTATTTTTATAGATTAGCATTAGTGACTTACTTAAAAAAAAACAATCAAACAGTTAGTTTGAAAGCATTTTTAATAATAATATTTATGCACTTCCTTGATTTAATATGATACATTTAATACTTAAGAATTTATATGTAACAAAAACTTACAGTCATTTGAAAAAAAAATCTATAACCTGTTCACAGCTTGTTAAAAACAATCAGATACTAATGCAATGAGTCAACTAGTATTTGCTTAAAATTCAAGTTGTGAATACATGATCAAATATTAGGCTTGTATGAAATGCTTTAGAAAAACTTTGTAATGGTTTTGTGGGATTTATCAGAAATGTGATGTTAAATTTCTCTCCCATTGACAAGAGATGTTTTCCAAATAAACCTATAAATACATACTTGTGGAGTAACACAAGATAAATTATCATACATGAAGTTCCACTTCTGTACAGTTATTCTGCTATTAATGGTCATGTACTGCTTAATGTTGGTCCTGAATCATGTTCTAATGAAGACCAAAAGGTCTCCAATTGTAATTTTTTTTTTCTGCAAAGCTCTTTTCCACTTTTTAATTAAATGCATGTTGTGGAAAAACAATCTTTTAAATGAAAATTTCAGATTCTGTTTGAGAAGGTTCTGTAGATATTTTAGTCCATATGAAATAATCCATATTTAATAAGCTTATGCAAGAAGAAGGAAAGTTAAGGGTTTGAGCATTACCAAAAAATGTAATATTTAATTTCATTTTAGATGAATGTGAAATGAATAAAAACTAAATCTGAGTAATCAGTGGTCATCACACTTAAAATATTTCAATGTCCAATTTTACAATATTTCTGAGCCCCTTAGCTTTTTTATACTATTAATCATGTACTCTGTACATGCACACAAAAAGTAGAATAAATTCCTTTTTGTGATTAAGCTAATAAGGGGGAAAAAAAGCAACAAATCCTCCAGTAGATTTCACATTTTGATACCTTCTGAAAACATTTTCCTCACAATCCTTGAAGGAGTCATTTTTTAAAAATGGAACATGAGTCAAAAATTATGGGAAGAAGAATTTTCAGTTTAAAAAGTTTGTCTTTATAAATGCTGAAGAAAAAAATACAGAAACTTTCTGTTCTAAATAGGTTGCCTTTTTGTATTTTATAATAGTGATATACACTGTAAACATTTCCATTATTTTATGATTTAGCCAGCCAGTCCCAAAAGCAGTCTCCTAGTGTTTTAATATATCACTAACTGTTCAGTTAAAAATGATCACAGTGAATTAAAAACTTCATGTGATCACTGATTTGAATAAGCAATCATATTCAATGAAATTCTGTATTTCTGAGTATTTTTATAGTCATTTTGTTCCTGTGTGAATTTTAATGCTATCTCTATGTTAATCCTAATATTTTGAAATCATATAAAACATAAGAAAAATGTAGTGTTATATATTTACTCTTAATTTCAGATTCCTGGTCAGAATTACTGAATATATTGAATGTAATTTATTGCAAAGTTTAAGTAATGTGTAAATGTGACTAGGATATTGTTTTTCAAAACAAATGTTATGTGGAAATAAATATTTATCCTAACTAATTTCCTTGTATATTTTAAATTATATGATGCAATGTGTCCTGTCTTTGTTTTTTCCTTCATATTAACAGCAAAATCAAAATAGAACTTTTTTGGAATAGTACTGGGGATTAAACATAGGTGCACCTAACCACTGAGCCACATCCCCATCTCTTATTTTATTTTATTTTTTACTTTGAAACAGGGTCATACTAAGTTGCTTAGAGCCTAGGTAAGCTGCTGTGGCTGGCTTTGAACTTGTGATCCTTCTGCTTTCAGCCTATGGAGCCACTGGGATTATAGGAATGTGCCACCACACATGGCTCATGTAGAACATTTTATTTGTTTGAATGTAATATTTAAATTTAGACATCCCCAAGTATAAGAAACCTTGGTGATGTAAAGATTTCAAGAATAGTCAAATAATTTGAACTTATGAACAAAAAACAATGAGAACTATATAAGAATGTATTTTCTCATTTTCCTGGAGTACAATGTCTTGGGTGCAAATGACATTGCTGTTAGAAAGAGGCTCAAAGATCATTATCAGAATTTCCCATATTGGAACTCCTTAAATCCTGTTTTTTTTTTCCAAGCACAAATAAAATTACATTTATTCACAACTAATTAGAGTTGAAATCAACAACCAATAAATCCTGTTTTTTTTAAAAAAAAAAAAATCCATGAGGAAGAGTTTCCTGAAATTTGTCTCCCTTCAATTTTGTTATAAAGCTCACATCAGACCGTTAATATTTTGTAGTCATCTGTAACTGTGCTCTGGAGATCAGTACATTCAGAACTTTACCTGCTCATTAGTATTTCTCTCTTGACTATTGAATTTACATTGTAATTTCTACTACTAAACTGCATACAGTGTCAGGAAGTCTTTCCTAACTATAATTGGAATGTCTTTTTAGTGTAGTTTAGACCCATAATATGTTAAAGGACCCTCCTTAGGTATTTTTGGATTTTTCTAGACTCTTAGAAGTGTGGTTTATTCTGCTTCCTATCTGCACTGACCTACCTCTGTTTCTGTTTAACTTTAGCCTATTTACTCCTGAGCACTTATTCTACTATTATTCTACTATTATGTAATATTGCTCTACAATTTGTTCAATATGTCTCTATTATATATTTATGCAGTGTAATGTTTGAGATTATAACCACTTGGAAGATTTATGAAAGTAATTTAAGTAATATGACAAGTCTCCAAATATCTACTTGGAGAAGGTAGTTCAAGTCAAAAGCCTAGTAATCAAGAATTACTAATACTACTTTAGAGATCTTATTTAGTTATTCTATACAGAAAGCTGAGCCAGCTGATACGCTGTCCCTCCAATTTGGTTGTCAGTATATTGAGCACTGTTGTGTGTTTTGGATCTTTGAAAACAGGACTATGACCTTTGCTTCTAAGGGTAAGTTGGGTATATGGCTATAATAAAATGCAATTTTTCACTATTTTGGTGGTATATTAAAATGATATATAACCCAAGGATAGAACTTTGAGTAGGACAAGGTTTGATTAAAATGTTATAGAAGAGCTAGCACATGAATTAGGATGGAAATGGGGAAGGAAGTATATTCAGTAACTGCAGAGATTCTCAGCCCCATGTCAATATTGAAATAAAAATAAAACAGTAAAGCTAGGTAGCAGTAACTACTCCTGGCATAGTTGATGTATAGTGTACATGGAGCCAGGGTGGTGTGATGTTAGGAAGGTAGTGAGACTTGAAAAAATAAAAAAGGTAAAAACAGAAGATGGAGACATTATAAATGATGTCAAACTCTATTTTAGGATATTTGAACTTTATCCATTAAGAAGCTCTTAGTAATGGAGAGACATGAGTTTTTGAAAAGATTAATCTGACAGCACAGTAGAGAATATAGTGGAGGAAAGAATGGAATCATTCCTTTGGGGATCCTGCTTCTAAAATAACTCTGTGATAGTCTCAAATAGACTCTCTCTGAATAGTTTCTAAATTTCTATTAGTATTGAAACCAAATGGGCTCCTAGGGTTCTTAATGAATTAGTCCAGATATACTAGTTTTGTTGGAATATCTTCTTTGTAGAGCTTCTATACATGGAGATTTTATATATGTATGTATACACATACAGAGATTTGTATTTGAAAAAAAAGTTCTGAAAAGCATGGCATAAGCACAGAAGCCTGAGACTATTAAATAATTCTAAGTGCGGTATGAAGTTCAGCCAATGTCTGCCTCATGAAAGTTCAGAAGCCACCTTCCTCTGCCCACAATATCATTTATTCTTACTGTGCACTTTGCTTTGTTCTAAGTCTTCTTCACTATTGGTATGTGTAGGATCATGTGGTTTCTACTATGTGACTTATTTTTTCCATTTGTTTTTAAGCTCCTTGAAGGTAGCAGTGGTATTTTACCCATCTTTCTAATTCTGATGTTTACCCAGCTAGCACAAGCTGTTGATAGAACAAAAGTAAAATGTGTCAGAAGATGCTTCTGCTTAGTTTAAAAAAACAAAATGGATTCTTACTGACATGTATCAGAACAAAAGCCATGCTTATTAAGCACCTTTATGAGTCCAGTGCCCAAGAATATAGAAGCCTAAGGCAAAAACCTATGCAATCCATGAGGCTATCAAGGTGTGAGAAGCACCAGATAAATATCACTAGGAGGAAGGAGAACATGAAAGGAGAGCATTAGACATTGCAGAAACATAAATCTCAATAAACTCAATCGTTTGAGGTAGGTATGTTGGTGCTACAGTTGAAAAAGTCTTAGTAATATCCTTTAAATGTTTTTCACTAGTCATCAGTTACTGATAATCTAACCCTGGTTCATCTTGGCTGCAGGATGCTGTGTGTCCAGTAAGATGTTAGATGGGACTGTCTTCCCCCTTATGGAGTGTTCATTCTGGTTCATGAAACCAAAATCAAAATCAGGTTAAGACGAATAATATTTCTTTTCAATATGCTATATTTTCTTCACTACCTATTTCTCTGAGGTTATCATTGGTAAGCAAACTTACCCAGTTAAATCCTCCCCTTTTTTCTCATTACTCACAAATGTCATGGCTTTGGATAAAAGAGGTCTCAAGAAGTACAGGTGCCCTCCTAATCCTCAGGTTCCATATCTGTGGATGCAACCATCTGAAAATGAACACTATTTGGAAAAAAAAAATTGTGTCTATGTTTAACAGGCACAGTCTTAGTTTTCTTTTCACCAGTCCCTTAAAAATGTAGTATAATAGCTATTTGCATAATATTTACATTGCATTGGGTATTATAAGTGATCTAGAGATGATTTAAAGTATATAGGAAGATATGCCTATGTTATATGTAAATGCTATGTCATTTTATATAAAGTATTTTAAATAACCCCAGAATCTGGTACCTATATTCATGAGAAAATCTGGAACCAATCCTCTGTGGATACCAAGAGATGACTGTAACTAAGGGTTTTGATTGTCAGATGATTGCACATCTCACCATACTGATACATGCTCTTTCAACAATTTGAAATACTTGTAGACTTGATTCAGTGAAAGGCTATTTGTATAAGAATATTGATTTTGTTGAACTTTAAAGCCTGTAAACATTAGAAAAAAAAACTCCCTTCTCAATAGCAAGAAAGTTATTTCTATTTTTATTAAATTCTTGGGGTCAAATATTAATATTACACAGAAAGATGACATGCATAGATGATAAATTCCTACTCAATACAACATTGATTTTATTAATACCAAGCTCTGAGCTTTTCTTTGGATAGTGAGTGACATATTATACTTTATATCTCTCATTTCGCTCTCATTCTCAACCATCTGTATCCAAGAGACATCCTGAACACATACTCCAGGTCACTAAGGATGCACGCAAAAAGATTTTTGGACACTGCTAAAATAACTTGTCATAAAGTTGGCACAACAAAATTCTCTTCCTTTATGAAAAAAGCCATGCTTGTGTTTTGGTATGTTTTTGATTTAGAATTTATTGAATCTTAAATATTTTACAAATCGAGTAGTCTTATAAGTCAGTATTCTCACGTCAACTTAGAGAAAAAGCAGAAAATGCCAAAAGGTGGAACCGATAGCCTGTGAATATGAAAGGAAACAAAACCCTCAGGATATCATACAGCCTGATGTGATGATTGATCTTTATGGTGGCGGCTCTGAGTCATCATGAATGCATCGAATTATGTTCTGTGCCTTCTATTTAAGAAAGCATAAAGATATGAAATTATTTTTAGCCAAGTTTCCAATAAAAAATGTTCAAAAATAATTTAAAGTGATTTTCTGAAAGTTTTGATAGAAACTTAAAAATGAGCTTGTATCTACAGATGAGACATGAACTGTTTATCCCTTCTTTTGGTGCATGCACCCCTGGGCTCTGTTGCACCCTCACAGGCTGTTGGTGAAAGAAGTCTTAGTCACTCACTAGTTTGCAGAGTCTGCAGTTGTCAACCAGAGACAAGTCTGCACATCTTTAGTGGTATGATTAGTTCTTGTGTTTCACATTTGTCCTCAGGTTAAGTAGGTCTAGTGAATCTATCAATTTCCTCATCTTCCTTTTCTAATAGGCAAATTTGAAACTCTTACTAAAATGTAAAACTTATCCTATGAAGGTCAAATAAAAACTGCTTTGAATTTATTCACATCATTAGCACTTATAGCCCCCTTTGCCTGAAAAATGTGTTGTGATTTTTTTTATTAACTCTGGACTCAAGGAAAAAAATGTTCAACATGCTTAGAAATGAAGAGAACAATAAATTCATTTAATTTTGATACTTTACAAATATCACACAGTATTTGATTTAGATATTAATATAATATCTGTCATTGTATAACGTGTAATTTTCAATTAAGATAAAAGGAGGATTTCTAATAAATTTTATTTTATGAATTAATGCTGTCCAGGGTGTGAACATATCACTGGTCTTCCTTGATATAGAACTCTGCAAAGATTGTCCCAGCTGTTCATAATAATTGAGATATATTTAAAAATAGAATAATGACAAGAAACCCACAGAGTTGAATGTTGGTTTATGAT